TGGCCTGCACATTGCTGTGATGCTGGAAGCTATCCTACCAAAATTTCAAATGGCAGACATTTCAGCAGAACTGGTGGACTAAGACAAAATAAGAAGAAAGGCCTGGCAAACTACTTCTAAAAATTAGCCAAAGGAAACCGTATGGATGATAAACGCGTATCTGTTGCCCATGCAGTGCAGGAAGATGAGGGCCCTGGGTGGAAGGCACTCAAAATACGACTGAAGAAGAGCTGCCTCCACAATGGACTCAAACATACCAATCACGAAGGTGGCAGAGGACTAGGCCATATTCATTCAGTTATACATAAGGTCACCCGGAGTTGGAGCCAGCTTGATGGTAAACAATAACAACAACAACATAAAAAAGAAGGCCAAAAGGATGTTTATACCTGTGTCATAGGCTTGAACTCGCTGCTGTGTCCTGCTCCAATCAGATGGTGTGCTTTGACTCCTACCTCTGCAAATTTTTCATTTTCAGTAATCCACTGGGAAAGGGCAAATGCGCTCTGTCGTGTTTTTGTAAAAATTATTCCCCGGGCTGATTCTTCAGTCCTAGTATATTGCTCCAGTATGGTGTTTCTTAATTTTGTCAGCTTTTCATTTTCATGTTCTGGGTTTTCAGCCAGGCTTTTCAACATTCTCTTGTTTTCTTTAAGAAATAGTAGCCAAAATTAGCAAGATATACAAATAATTACATGGAAGATTTATTTAATGATGCTCTGAAATTTGCTCAATGATATTTTATATTGTGCTTTTTAATAATCAGGCTGGTTTAATAAAATAAATTCACTGTAATCATCTTGACAATAAAACTGTATGACCAAATGATTGACTCAGATCATATAACTCCTGGCTAATCTGGTCACATCAGTTAAAAAGAGTCCCACCAAACCAAACTCAGTCCTCGAATCAGACCTGACTCACAGCAACCCCTCCTTGGGTATCTCTATGGAAGTAAATTGCCCAACCTTCCTTCTGAGGAGTGGATGGTGGATTTGAACCACCAGCCTCTGGTCAGCAATCAAATGCCTTAGGCACTATGCCGCCAGAGCTCGCAGAAATAGTCCTAATGGGAGTGAAATTTCTTCTTCCAAAATAGTGTTTTAACAGGGCCTTTGGAGAGCTTATGAAGTAAGTTCATGCCAAAGAGGTAAATACATGAGATCATGAGACAAAGGTTACTTTGATTCTTACCAAAAAACAAGTTCATGAGAAATTTATCTGTCTCATCCAGTTTCAAAGGCTTCTTTTCATCAAGCTCATCTCTGTCACCATCATTATCACCACTGTCACCACTTTCATCACTATCATCTTCTAGGACTGCAAACTTCTTTTCTTTCTCATCATTATAGAAAGTTTCAAGGTGATTATATGCATCAATCATTCGGATTGTGTCATTAATTTGTAGGGCCTCATTGTACTTTCTCAAATGCTCTGCACAAACACGTTCTTTGCGATTTCCTTCTCTTGCAGCTATGAAAGAATGTATTATGTACAGTGAGGTAATGAGTAAACACAACCCGTAAAACAGTGTTGTGGACATGAATATATTTATAATAATAGTAATTTAAAACAAAAAGTTGTTGTCAAGTTGATTCCAACTCATGGCAACCCCATGTGTTTCAGAGTAAAC